CATCCATCCATCCCTTGGAGCATCTCCGTGGCCTTGGGACTTTCTTTGAGTTTAATTCTGATTATTTACTGCTGCTGTCAGGTGGTCCCTGAGCTGACAGGGCTGGGAGAGGCTGGAATGGCTCAGCTGAGTCCTGGGGACACTGGGAGGACACTGGGAGGACACTGGGAGGACACTGGGATGGCACAGCGAGGACATTTTTACTGCTGGGTTTTCCCACCTGAGCCCAACACAACTGGGGGAAATTTCTGTGCCTGCAAGAGGTTCAAACTTTGAGGTCCAAAAAATTTGAGATTCAAAGTTTGAGGCTCAAACTTCGAGTCTCAAACTTTGAGGTTTGAAACTTCGAGGTCCAAACTTTGAGGTTTGAAACTTCGAGGTCCAAACTTCGAGGCTCAAACTTTGAGGTCCAAACTTTGAGGCTCAAACTTCGAGGCTCAAACTTTGAGGTTTGAAACTTCGAGGTCCAAACTTTGAGGTCCAAACTTCGAGGTCCAAAATTTGAGGTCCAAACTTCGAGGCTCAAACTTCGAGGCTCAAACTTTGAGGTTCAAACTCTGAGGTCCAAACTTTGCCCCGTGTTTACTTTCCTGGCTGCCTCAGTGCATTAAAAGCTGTCAGCACCTCCGCTGGGGATTTATTTGGGCATTAAAAAGGGCCCGGGGCGGGCGGATGCAGACACTCGGCAGCTCCCTGGAAAATGTGCCTGCAGCACAAACCCAGCCTCTGCACACAGCTCACCCTTTAATAAGTGCATTTAATTAAAGTCATATAACTCTTTTTTTTATTATTATTATTAAAAAGGAGGGAGAGGAGGGGAGGGATAATAAAAAAAAAAAAAAAGTGGGGCCTGCTGAGCTGCAAGCAAAGGTTGTGATACAAAGAGGGGGTTTAGAGCGAGGGTTTAATGGAAAAGTCATCAGCAATGTGTTGTGTTGCTCCTTATTCCCAGCCTTGCTTGGGGTTGGGGAGAGAATTTGAAGGGATTTCTGAATTTCCAGGCTGCCGTTTCCCCCCTCTCCCCATCCACTTCCCTGCTGTTGAAATTCTGTAGAATTATGAATTTTTCCAAGCCCAGTTGCCAAACTCTGTTGCTGTTGGATGGAGCCGCCGTTGCTTTCCCTGCTTGTTTAACCTTTTCTTTCTTTTCCTTGGATCTGGGGGAATCCTGGAGCCCCCACGTTTGTTGTGAGCACCTCGAGGGCCCTGCAGAGGGGGAAGAGGAGGAGCTTTGGGAAGGGGTGGGTGAGGTTTTGGGATCTTTTATCCATGTGCTGATTCCTGCAGGGACAGCCCTGGATGGAGCCACGAGGTCATGGTGGCCACCGAGCACTTGAGCCAGGTTTAATCCTCCATGCACGACAGGCTGGGGCTGTTCCATCCCTGGAAGTGTCCAAGGCCAGGCTGGACAGGGTTTGGAGCAGCCTGGGACAGTGGAAAGTGTTCCTGGGGTGGGATAATGGGATGGGATAATGGGATAATGGGATGGGGTGGGGTAGGATGGGGTGGGATAATGGGATGGGATGGGCTTGTCCTGCTCTGGGCGGAGTTTTCCCACCTAGCACAGCACCAGGATGGGACAGCAGGAGCTGTCACTTCCCAGATTTCTCCTGGAATGCCGGCAGGGTTTGCAGAGCCCTCCAGCCGTGGTTTCTCGGGGGGGATCAGCGGTGTTTTACGGGCTCCCTTTCCCAAATCCCTGCTCTGCTCCCAGCTGGGACCATCCCAGCCCTGCATTCCCTGCCTGCTCCTTGCCAGATCACGCTGCTGCTCCTCCTTTTCCTAATTTTCCTCCTGGAGAGGACAAGGATTCCCTCAGGAATTGGGAATTCTGCACACACACCCTCGTGCTCTTCCCCTCTCCAGGCTTTTCACGCCGCTTTTGACATTCCCAATTTATTCATTTGCTGGGGACAAAAACATCCCGGCTCCTGCGGGAGTCGCAGCCGTGCTGGGGAGGCTTCGCTGCCTTTCCCAGCCGCGCTGGGTGTGGGATGTGGGATGGGATTTGGGATTTGTGGGATGTGGGAGGGCGCTGCAGGTACGGACACGCAGCTGGGGCGAGGGAGGTTGCAGATGTTCCTGGAATTCCCAAGCCGGATCCGAACAGGATGCGTCTGTCGGGGGTGGGGAGGGAGCTTGCCAAGAGCCTGACATCAGGGCGGGATCGTTTTCTGCTTTTCCGAGCGCTCTGGGAATCTCGGGAATGGGAAAGCACGGCTGGGATGGTGCGGGATGAGCCTTGGGCAGCAGCAAATCCCAGCTCAGCAAATCCCAGCTCAGCAAATCCCAGCTCAGCAGATCCTGGCTCAGCAGATCCCAGCTCAGCTCCTGTGCATCCCCCCGGGCTCATCCCCATCCCCACCATCTCTCCAAACCTCCTCTCTCTTATCCCTGCCCAGTTTTTCCAGTGGTTTCCAGGCTGTTTTCCCAGGAAAATCAGCCAGCATGGTCCCAGAGCTCTCCTCATCATTCCCGTGGTTCCCAAATCCTCGTGCCTTGCAGTGGGGGAATGTTGTGTCCATGCCTTGTCCCTTCCCAGGGTTTTTTTCCTTGGATTATCAGCCCTGCTGAGGTGTGGGATGGATTTCATCCCTGAGGGATGCTCTGGCTCATCCCTGCTCGTGTGGGGCCAGGACCAAATTCATTGGAATTGGGAATCCCGTGGATGGGAGGATTTGTTCTGCCTCACCCAGGGTGCTGCTCCTGGATCACTGTAGGGACAGGGAAATGTCCCTGCACTCCTGAGACTTTTCCTGAGTTCCTCAGGGAGCAAACGCGAGGTTCCTGCCAGGAATCCACCATCTGCACAATTCCTTGGCAGGAAATGTTAAAATCCCTGTGAGTTCCCTGGGGTGAGAGCCTGGATCTGTCCCTGGAGCAGGACAGGGGACAGTGACACCTGTGCGGGATTTTTGCCTTGTGACAGAGTTTTCCTACATTTCCAGAGGTGCCAAGATATTCCAGTGCCTGAAGGGTGGAAAATCCTGCTGGAATCAGGGCACAGGGGGGATCCAGCAGGGATGGGAGGTGAGAGCCCTGGCAGGAACGGGGCTGTCCCTGCTGCCTCCCAGCAAACAGGACCCGGGGCTGTCACCTGCCACCACCGCATGGAGGATTAAACTCGGCTTAAGTGCTTGGTCAAGGGCAAGGCCGGGCCCCAGTGGTGTGAGCAGGCAGGGAAAGCCACTGGGCTGGGAGGGCACCCTGGGCTCCCATTTCCTGGGATTCCTGGCAATGCCAGGAGCTCAGCCAGGCTCTTCCCAGCAGCTGCAGCATCTTCCAGACCCCCCGTGCTCCAGCCCTGAGGCTTTGGGCCAGAAGGGGCTCCTGGGTGTTGCAAAGCAGATGTTCCAACACCACAAACTGTCCCCTCCGTCCTCCCAAACTTCCTGCCCGGAGCAGCTCCCGAGACTGCAAATGGGAAAAGCAGCTTGGGGCTGTTGTTATCTTGGAATCCAAAATTCCCTGGCTCCCAGCACGGTTTGGGAGGGGGGATGTTGTTCCTTGGCTGATCCCATGGAAGATCCGGGATAACCATCCTGCTCCTGCTCCTGCTCCTGCTCCTGGCCAGGGATTTGTGTCAAGGACAAAAATTCCTGCCCAGGACAGAAATAAAGGGAAAAAACTGGACAGAAAGTGCTGAGGGAGCAGCAGGAGCAGCACTAATGAATGAATTAATTGGTTAATTATTATTGCTGTCGTGCAGGGGCCGAGGTGAAATTTTGGGAGAGCTCTGCCTGTGGGAACTGGGGAAGAACAGATCCAAAATTCCAGCGCCCTTCCCTTGGGATGAGAGTTTCCCTTTCTGCATTTAGGGAAATCCTCAGGATTTGGTCACTTCCCCGTGCCTCAGTTTCCCCATTCGTGTGACATGGACAATGATGTAAAGCAGGAGATGGAGGTGGAGTTTCATTCTTGTGCAATTGAAAATCTGGGAGTTCAGTGGCAGTGGAGGGAGGAATAAAACGCTGGAGTGAATATTTGGGAAGGAACCAAACCCGTGGGTGAGAGGGGAGGCTCTGCTGATGATTTCTGCAGCACTAATTAACGGGGGCAGTAAAAACCTGAGGGGTTTTGCCATCCCTGGGCTGTTCCCAGGGGCTCCCCCTCATCCTGGCTGGTGGGACCCCCCTGGCTGGGCTGGTCCCAGGACATCCCAGCACATCAGTGGCACCTTGTCACCACTGCAGGGGACACAATTCCCTCATTCCCCCCAGTCCATCCCTCCCGGAGCAGCTCAATCCCAGAGCAGAGGGGAAAACCCACGGGAGGTTTTGGGTCCCTGTCCCCAGGGCACCCCTGGTGGGGTGACAGAGCTGCTTGGGCTGTCCCCCCTTTCCTGGCCAGCTGGGATTGAAGGGACAGTGTCCCCTTTGTCCCTCTCCTGGCCTGGAGCAGGGATGTGAGCAGGGAATGGCCCCAGCCAGGAAAAATCCTCTTCCCACAGGGAACTCTCTGACCCCGTGCCTTGGATGGAGCACAGCACCTGTGGCTTTGCCTCCTCTCCCCTCTCCTGGCCGGGGTTTGGGGCACACTGAGCTCTGTGTGCCCTGGGTGGGGTTTGGTGGCCACAGGGAACTGGAGCCTCCCTGTTCTGGGCTCCTTTGAAGGGTTTGTGGTTGCCCACAAGGACCTGGCCGTGCTTGGGCTGTAAGATCCTCTGGCCGCTTCTTTTGGGACCACCAGCGAGCTCAGGGATGGGGCTGTGGCCACCTTTTGATATCAAAAGATATCTCAAAGGCAAATATTGAGAAATATTTGGGTGGAGGGAGCCGGGCTGGGATTTTGGAGAGCTGGGAGCCCCCGGCTGCAGCCAGGCAGAAATGCTTGATGTATTCCCGTGGGTGGCACATGAAAGGTGGGGTCAGGACATTAATTTGGGGGGCTGGAGCTCCTGGCTGGCTCTGGGAGACCACCAGAGCTCTGTGGGGTGTTTGGACAGAGCAGCTCAGATTCATCCTCCTCCTCCTCCCTTAATTCCATCCCGCAGAGAGCAGGGAAAAAAATAAATCCACTTCAAACAGCCCCGTTTGGTGGTGCCTGCAGCACTATTTATACTTTTATTGCTCCCCTGGGCTTCATGGAAGAGCCTTTTTCATGGAAACTTCGGTGTGGGGTGGGATTAATGAAGCCAGCATCCTCAGAGAGTGATTTTGGAGCTGGGGGTGGGCAGATCCCCCATAATCCCAGATCCAGGTGATCCCAAATCCAGGTGACCCCAGATCCAGGTGACCCCAGATCCAGGTGATCCCAGATCCAGGTGATCCAAGCTCCATTCAGAGCTAATTCAGTTCTCAGGCTGTGCTGGAGGTTCTAAGTTTGCTTTGGGAGAGTTCTTCCCTCCTGGAAGTCCCACAATATCCCAGGAAAATGCATTTCTCAGGGTGAGATAAATTAAATATCCAGCCCAGCCCCAATTCCCACCCAGCAGGTTTTTTTGCCTGTAGTTTTTCAGGATTGAAGGTGGATTTTGGGGTTGCTCCAGGGCTGAGCCCAGCTCCCTGCTGGCACCCTCTGCTCTCCCATTCCCCATGGAAAACGATCCCAATCTCCCAAATTCCCTGGGGAAGGTGGAGCTGTTTCACGGGAGGCTCCCGGTGCTGAATAGCCTGGAGATGTTTTCCTCCCTCTTCCCAACAGGAGCATCCCGGTGTTCCCTGGATCTCCCTGGAACGCTGGGCTCTGCTCTGGTGTGAGATTTCAACCTTTGTCACGACAATGACCTCGAGCAAAGCCCTGGCTGGTGCTGGTGACTCCCAGCAGCTCCCAGATCTCCTCCTCCGGGTTTTTCCTGGGCTCCCGGGAGGAATGGCCATAAATTGGTGATTTTTCCAGACAAACCACCTGGTTCCTCACTGCCTCAGCGCCTGAGCCACGCTCAGAGCCACTTGTGGCGTTTTCATGTTCATTTTCTGTCTCTCCCCACATCCATCAACCCCTGTGGAATCTCCACTGCTCCCATTCCATAAAAACCCACCTAGAGGGTCTCGGGGTGGGAATTTCTTCACTCCCAGCTCCACACCAGCCCTGCTGCAAATCTGGGGCCACCTGCCTGGCACAGGGACCCCGGGAGGGGTGGGCAGAGCCCCGAGCCTGGCCCTGCTCCTCGGGATCCTGAGCTCAGCTCAGCTCCGGGGTGTTTGTCTTGGAGATTAAATCTGGAGAGCCTCCGGTCTCCAAGTCCATGCCGGGAAAAGAGGGGCAGGAGGGAGGGAAAGGAGCCCAGCCCTGCGGGACAACACTCCTGTTAACCCTCTGGAAGCTGGAAAAGCCACGGATGGAGAGGGAGAAAGGAGTGAGGGGGAAAAGGGGCTGGGGAATCCCTTGGGAAATGTTGGAATTGTGGAATCCTTTCCGTGCTCCTCGTGCACAATGGAGCGTTCCTGTGGGATGCTCCAGCCAGGAGAATTCATCCTGGAAATGCTGAGCATGGAATTCTGGAATGGTTTGGGTTGGGAAGGAGCTGAAAACTCATCCAGGGACACGTCCCACTGTCCCAGGCTGCTCCAGCCTGGCTTTGGGCACTTCCAGGGATCCAAGGGCAGCCACAGCTGCTCTGGGAATTCCATTCCAGGCCTTCCCAACCTTCCCAGGGAAGAAGTTTTTCCTAATAACCAACCGAACCCTGCTCTGTCAGTCTGAGCCCTGCTGCAGGGTCAGTGTGTGAGACCCTAATCCTGAATTTCTCTGGCCCGGGGCTCTTTTTGTGCTGATTCCAAGGGCTGGGTCCTCCTGTGCATCCCAGCCCTGGCTCTCCTGCCTGCCCAGCATCCCCCAGAAGTGTCAGTGACATGGGGACATCTCCAGCTGCCTGTCCTGGACCCCCAGCTGGCTCTGACCATCCTCATCCTCCTCCTCCTCCTCCCGAGCCTGGTGCTGGGCTTTGCCTTTAAATCCCCTTTAAATGCCGAGCCTGGGCAGGCAGGGGGAGGGAGGGGGAGCATCTCCCGGTGCTCCCGTGTTCCCAAACACTTCACCCCGAGCACGGAGCGTTCCCTGAGTGTTCCCAGAGCTCAGGGCTGGGTTTGCAGGGATGTTTATCCAAAGGGATCGTGCCTCCCAGCCTCTGGCACTTCCAAGGCCAGGTAGGTTGTGTTTATCCTGGGCTGGGAGCTGGGGCTCAGCCAGGACCCAGGCTGCTCTGAGATAGAGGATTTCAAAAAGCCCTGATTGTGAGAGGCCAAACCCATGGCAAACGGGGCTGCCAGCAGCTGTGCCCAGGCCGAACTGGTGGAACTGGGCCAGAGGGAGCTGGGGGAGCAGCCCCAGGGTGGGTTTGATGGTTTCCCTGCAGTGCTGTGGGCTGGGATGGCTGGAGCTGCTCCACGGCCAATTTCCCGCCCTTATTTTTGTTGTGTTTAACCTTCAGTGGGGTTGGGATGTCTCTGATCCCAGATTTGGGATTAGGGACAACCTGCAGGAGCCCACAGAGCTGGGGAACCACAGGGGTTGTTCCCCACTGGGGCTCCTTCCAGAGCCCTTCCCTCAGATCCCAGTGCTGGCACTGGCCCAGCTGGGCTGTACTGGGTGAACTGGGTTGCTCGTGGGTCTCCACCCTGAGTTTCCATCCATCCTCTCTGCCCATTCCAGGGGTCTCCAGCTCCTCTGAGCACCCCCCTGGATGTGGAGCCTCCCTCTGCTCCAGCTCCTGTGTCCAACCTGGGAGGAAAATCCCAGCAGGCTCCTGGGCTGGGCTGAGCCCTCTGGTTTAATCCCAAAGGAACAATTTAATTAAGATTAATGCAGATCTCATCCACTGGGAGTTCTCCCTGCAGGCTCCGAGCTCTGGATCCTGCCCAAGGGAGAGGACAGGGAGGAGGAGGAGGAGGAGGGAGGAAGGCTGGGCACTGCTGTGCTCATTTCCCCCCTACTCCTGGCCAGGTGTCCCCCTCACCTGCCCCAAAGAGGGAAGGAGCTGTTCAGCCTTTGAGATTCCCATCCCAAATCCCAAATAAACCCCAATTCCCATTGAAGTTTTCAACCATAAACCAGCACAGCCAGGAGGAAGGAGGGAGCAGCAAAGCGCTGGGTGTAGCTTGGAAAAATGAGGTTTTGTGCTTGCAGTCCTTTTGTTATCCCGTGAAAATATCTCCCCTGGGATCTCGCTTTGCTCTGGAGTGGCTTTTGTTTGGGAGTTTTGTTGTCTCTGGAAGGTGCCAGGAAAGGAGGACAGGCAGGGCTGGGGATGGAGGGTGCAGCTTTCCCAAATTTCCTCCTCCTCAGATCCCAGGGATGCTGCTGGGAATGAGCTCTGTGGACACGGCAGGACCCCCTAAACCCCTGCCCTGCAGAAAAGCCCCGGCTCCAGCAGGGAGATCCCATTAAAAGGGAATGGGCCAATCAATAAATCAAGGCAGCTGGAAAATGAAACCAGCGAGCTGGGAGAGACGACTTTTGCTTTTTTTCCAGATTTTTTTTTTTTTTTTTTTCCCCACCCCTCAATTAAAGCAAACAAAACTCCCAGTGCAGGCGGGTGCTGAGCTCGGGGTGCCGGGGAAATGAGCTCTGTAAATTCTGGGATGTGTGGAAGTGTTGAAAAGGGATCAGCTGTTCCCCAGCTCGGCAGGGGAGAGCTGGGATTTCCCAGTTCTTTGGGAAAGGTGGGATTTTCTCCCCAAATCCATCTCCACGTGGATCTTACAGTGATGTCCATGGGGGGAAGGATGTGCTGAAGGGATGTTGGGAATTATCCCAAAGATCTGCAGTTTGCTGTTGGGATTGGGTGACAAATCCTTGGCTTCATCCCTATCCTAAAAAAACCTGGGGTATTTGGGGGCTCTTTAATGGGACCTGAAAGTCGCTGGGATTTTGGGATCAAACCTTGGGGAGCTGTTGGAGGGGCTGTGCTTGGGGACAGGGCTCCGTGGAGGAATTCAGGGGTGTTTTCCAACTGGAATAACCCCAGGATTGTGTGAGGAAACGGGAATTGTGTGAGGAAACGGGGATTGTGTGAGGAAATGGGAATTGTGTGAGGAAATGGGGATTGGGAGGTGAAATGGGGATTGTGAGGGGAAATGGGGATTGTGTGAGGAAATCGCTGCCTTTGGGTTCTCCCCTCCTCGCTGTGCCCCAGGACACCCCAGGATTTTGGGATCCATGGGATCTGGGATGATGGGGGCAGACTTTGCAGCCTGTGCCTCCAACTGAACAGCAGAATCCCTGGAATATCGGGGAAAACTTTGGGAATATCAGCTCCTCTGCCCCATAAACCCCTGAGCCCTTTTCCAGGTGCTCTTCCCTCCCTGCCCTTCCCAGGTTTTTCCCCTGGGATGGCACTGCTGGGGAGGCAGCACAGGGAGGAACAAGGAGCTTTTCACTCCAGGAGATTTTTTTTTTTTTTTTCCTGACCTACATTTTTCTATTCCTGTGTCCAGTTTAGGTTTCAACCCTTTGGTGTTTCCCAGCCAGCGACAGCTTAAAAAAATTCCTGATAAATTCTAGGACGGGCACAGCCTGGAGAACATTCCTCTGTGCCCTCCTGCTGGGAATCCCTGTGGGATTTTGGGGGTCACCAGACCCTCAGTGTGACCCTTCCCCATGCCAGGGATGGGTTTGGATCCCGGGAATCCCTCGTTGTTTCTGGGATGCTCCATGGGGGATCTCATGTGGTGTCCCCAATCCCTGCCAGCCCAAACACGGCTCAGCTCCACTTCCAGAGGGATCCACTGAGTGGGTGTGGAATAAAATCTCCTTTTTCCCCCTCAAATCCATGAAAATTATTTTTGGAGAACCTGCTTTGGACAAACCTATAGAAATAAACCCCTTTTTCTTGTGCTTCCCCTTTTCCCCTTTTCCCCTTTTCCTTTTCCTTTTCCTTTCCTCTTTTCCTTTTTCCTGCAGGGTGGGAGGTGTGGAATCCACACCTTTGGGATCAGCAGGGATTGGGGATCCAGGTGTGATGAGGCTTTTCCCAATTCCTTTCCATGGGGATGGGTTTGGGTTGTGCTTGGGCCTTGGCTTGGACACTGCAAGACTTGGTTGTTTTATTTGTATTTTACCCGTGTTTTATCCATATTTTAAATGTGTTTTATTCATATTTTATCCATGGTTCATCCATGTTTGATCTGTGTTTTACCCATGTTTTATCCATATTTTATCCATGTTTTATCTGTGCTTTATCTGTGTTTTATCCATGTTTTACCCATGTTTTATCAATGTCTTATCCACGTTTTATCTGTTTTTATCTGTTTTATCCATGTTTTACCTGTGTTTTACCCATGTTTTATCCATATTTTATCTGTGTCTTACCCATGGTTTATCCATGTTTTACCCATGTTTTATCTGTTTTTATCTGTGTTTTACCTGTATTTTATCCATTTTTAAATTTTTAAATTTAAATTTTTAAATCTGTTTTATCCATATTTTACCCCATGCTTCATCCACATTTTATCCCAGTTTTCTGGGATTTCCCAGTTCCACTTAAAGAGAAGTAATTCCAAAGGAATAATTTTAAAAATTCCTCTCATTTAGGCCTCACCAGCATTTCCCTGCTTGATGCTCCTGAAGGATTTTTGATGCTCTCCACTTCCAGGCACCCGAAAGGGACAAAGAACCCCAAATTCCAGGTGAGTCCTGTCCCTGGCACAGCTGGATTTGGGAATTCTCTGGGATTTGGGATGGAGGTGCCCTGGGGGTCCCCCAAGGGTCGCATTTTTTCCATCCCCCCCATCCCAAATCTCCGAAATTCCTCCTTGAAGGAGCAAACCCTGGAGCGTCCCAGGGCTCAGGGGGAGTGACAGCGCTTGGAAAAGGAGATTCCTGCCCTCGGGAAGCGTGGCTGGATCGTGCCAGGGCAGGTTTGGCTGCTCTGGGATGATTCCCACCAGCACCAACCATTCCCATTGCACTGGGAGAGCGATGCTGGTGCTGATGGGATCACGGACAGGGAGGTTTCTCCCTTCCCTCAGGGATATCAGATCCTTTGGGATGAGAAGATGGAGACTGTGGTGGTTGGAAGCTCTGTAGGGAGGCAGGATCCCGTCAGGCTGGGGGAGCATCTCGGCTCACACTGCATCCAGCTCTGCCCTGGCTCGTTCCACCGGGATTTCATCCCCTCATTTTCCATGGAAAAAAGGAAGGGAGAGAGGGGAGAAGAGGGGGGCACAGGGAATTAATCAGCTTAGGGGCAGCACAGGAAGAAACTCTGCTTAAATTGGTAATCCCCGGGCTGGAAATCAGCTCAGAGCTGTGAAATCAGCCGGATGGGTTTTCCTCTTCCCTCCCACCTCCAAGGACAGGGGGTGGGGACAGGGCAGGACTCCAGGGTGGCTTTTGCACCTTTGTTCGGTGTCACTCCCCCATCCCAAGCTTTCCAGAGAACACCTTGACCCAGATTTGGGATGTGGGACGTGCCCGGGCCGTGGGGAGCAGAGCCAGACCTGTCACCTCCCTGGGGACACAGAGCAGGGATTGCAGCTCATGCTGCACTGGAATGGGGGACACGTGTGGGAATGAGCAGGGCACCCCTGTGATCCCTTTATCCTGGGGGTCCAATCCCTGCTCACCTCTGTGGGTGCAGGAGGGATCCCAGAGCATCCCTGCCCCAGCTCCCCTGCTGCAAATGGAGATCTGCTGCTGGTGAGCAGGGATCCAAAGGATCCTAAGGATCCTCCAGCTCCTTTGGAAGATCCAGGGATCTAATGGATCACATGGATCACATGGAACACGTGGATCTCGTGGATCTCGTGGATCTCGTGGATCTCGTGGATCTCATGGATCTCGTGGATCTCATGGATCACCAGCAGCTCCTGCTGCTGGCACAGACCAAGGGGAGCTGCTCAGCTCCTGCCTGCAGTGAGGGGCTCCAGAGTTCCAGCAGGAAAAGCAGAAATGCTGGAGCTGAGGGAATGTCACTGCTCAGGGAATGTCACTGTCCAGGGAATGTCCCTGCTAAAGGAATGTCCCTGCACGGCTCAGGCCCATCCCTCAGCCTGGCAGGGCATTGTCACTGTGGGGACACTTTAATAAATGACCCAGAACTGTCGCCAGAGCCTTCCAGAAACCCGGGGCAGTGTGGGCTGGCCCAGGCTGATGTCACCCTGTGCTTGTCACAAAATGCTGCAAAAATGAAGGAGGATGGGACTTTCTTCATTCCTCTCCCTGCCTGTCAGGAGTGACACACGGCTCCAAGAACCAGGGTGGCCTTTCCTGCAGGGAAGGAGGGGAAATTGCTCGAAAGAGCAGGAGGCAGAACAGGCTGGAGTGTGTGAATGAGAAAGTGCTCAGGGGTGTGGCTGGGGGGGTGACAAGTTCTATTTTTAGGCTTCCACCTGTGCTCAGGTTTGGGGGCTTGGTCAGGGCTGGAATTTGAGGAGGAAGCTGTGGATGGAGCAGTGGATGCCACGCTCCCTGTGCATCCCTGTGGGAATGAGCCACTGCCAGGACCCACCCGTGGCATCCCTGGATGTCCCCTGGGCCCTCCCCTGGGTGGCACCTCACGGCCACCCCCTTCCAGAGCTCTGGGTGCTGCTGTGGTGTCCTGGGGTCCTCCCTGCAGGTCCTGCACCTCAGCTCTCTGAGGTTTTTGTGGTGTCACATCTTAGGGGAGCTCTCCAGCACCCACCCTGGGCTGTTTTGGGGTTAAAGAGGCAGAGTTTGGGGAGGGGTCTCATGCAGTGTGACCCCCAGCACTGAGCACCCACCCTGCCCCAGGGTGTCCCTGAGTCAGGGGTGACTCACGGAGCTGCCAGCGCCTGTCTGGGTCACGGTTATTCATTAACACTTTCCCAGAAAGGGTGGCCTGGGAACAAAAAAAAAAAACCAAAAAACAAAGCCCTGCTCCCGCCCAGGAGCTGTCCTGACACCTCAGCCCGGGCTGCCTGGGGTTTTGGCAGGGATGGGGATAATCCCTTGGGACAGGCTCTGGGAACTGGGCTGGCTCTGGCAGCAGAGCTGGGGCAGCTGAGCCTGGCTCCAGGGGCTGCCCTGAGCCTGGCTTATCCTTCCAGGCTGCTCTGTAGCCTCCTAAAGCCAGGCAGCTGCTCCAGCTCTGCCTCAGCACTGAGCTCATGCAGGACCCCCCAGCCCTGCCCAGAGGAGCTGTGGCTGCCCCTGGGAGTGTTCAAGGCCAGGCTTGGAGCAGCCTGGGATAGTGGGATGTGCCAGGGGGTGAAACTGGGTGAATTTTCAGGTCCCTTCCCCCCTAAACCATTCCATGACTCCGTAGTGCAGCACATCCTGCAGGGCTGGTGATGGAGGAGGCAGCGTGGGGAGGATTTCATCCCCAAGGATCCCAAATTCCCAGCCCAGGTCACCTCCTGGGCAGGCTGGGGATGTGAGCTGGGGGGTTCTGCCTGTGGGGGAGCAGGGAGGAGCTGGGAGGATTCCCTGGAGAGATGGGACACGTGTGACACTCGGGGAGGGATGGACACGGGCAGACAGGGATGGACACAGACATACCAGGACCTCCCTTCCCCTTTTCCAGGTTTTTGGGGCCAGGCCTGGGGGTGGCTGCAGGGCCAGGGCACGAGGTGCTGAGGCAGCTCTGCTGGGACCGGTTCCTGCAATGGGGCTGTGGCTCTCCAGCCGCAGTTTTGTACATTTGGCCTTGGGATGGGAAGAATTCCGACAATAAAAGCGGAACTGGGGCAAGTCTGAGCAGGGCCAGGGGTCTGAGGGAGCAGAGGGAGGTGGGAGCTGCCAGAATCCTGTCCCTGCCCTTGGATCCTTTTCCTGTTTGGCTTTGCTGCCCACACAGTTCGTGCTCTCGCTGTCTGGGGATGCTCCCACCCTCCACAGCCAAAATTCCTGTTTTATTCCTGCACTTCGCCCTGCTCCTGGAGAACATGGGTTTGGGGAGGGCAGGAGGCAGATCCCCATCCCAAAATTCAGGTTCTCATTCCTGCTGCACACTCAGCACCTCCTCTGTTGGCTCGGGCTGGACCCTCTGCTCCTGTGGGTGCTGCTGAGCCCTTGCTCCATCCCTGCCCTCCAGGATGATGTGGGGGCTCGTGGGGAGGACAAAAACCCCGGGGCTGGTGTCCAGGACACCCTGGTGGCTCGCAGTGTGTGGCCTGGGGCACAGGGAAGCAGCTGATCCCTCCTGGGGAATGTGGGAGGGAATGGGAAAAAACCAACTGCACCTGAAATGTGTCTGGATGTGAGGGTCCAGAGCTGGGGGGGCGCTGGGGGATGGACTGGGGGGGTTTAGCTCAGTGGGGGTTAAACTGGGGGATGGAGTGGGATTTTTAGCTCGGTGGTGTCTGGGTGATTCTTCCTTGGGGGAAAGCAAAGGGCTTCGTGCTGCGGGTTAAACTGGGGCATTCCCCTGGCACTGACCCGAATTCACACGTTCGGGATGTGCTGATGTCCCCAGGACGGACAGGGGACACTCTGTGTCACTCTCCTCCCCTCCCGCCCCATCCCGAGCTGCCCCAAGGCTCCCCGGGGCTGGAGGCTGCAGGAAGCGCCTTTGATCCTCGGGTGTTACCCCGCCTTCAAACCCGAGATAACACATCAGAGCAGCCCGGGGCTGCGCTATCGCGATCGCTATCGCTATCGCCGCTGAGCCTCTGATCGCTCCGGCCGCGCCTCCTTCAAAGGCAGCGCTGCCCGGACACACCCAGAGCCCGGCGGGGCTGGCACTGCCCGGGGGGCTGGCACTGCCCGGGGGGCTGGCACTGCCCGGGGGGCTGGAAGTGCCCGGGGGGCTGGAAGTGTCTGGGGGGGCTGGCAGTGTCCGGGGGGCTGGCAGTGCCCGGGGGGCTGGCAGTGCCCCGTGCTCCCAAGCGGGGCTCACAGCCTCACCCCAGGGTTTGGGGGAGCTTCGGAGCCCCCCGAGGGGTTGGGAACTGCCAGCAGTGGGGTTGGACGCTCGGGGTGTTCTCCTCGGGCACTGCGCGCCTCTGGGGATGTCAGCATCGTCCCTGTCTATCCCAAATTCCGCTGTTCTGTGCTCCCCAAAACCTGGGAATTTGGGGTTGGTGTCCTGCAAGCCCCAGTGATGCTCATGAGGTGGCTCTGGACCTTCTCAGGGGGCACTGGGTACCTCTGGGATGCCATCACAGATGTCTGAGCTCCCTGCTCATCCCAGATCCCACTCTGCAGTGACCCCCAGAGCCCGGGAATTTGGGGTCAGGGCCCTGCAGAGCTCCATGGTGCCCCGGAGAGAGGCAGGAGATGCTCGGGGCAGGCAGGAGGATCTGGAGCTGCTCTCTCTGGTTTCCCAGCAGCGTGTGGGAGTGCTCAGGAGAGGTTTGGGGATGGAGGAAAAGGCTCCGGGGCTGCTGCTCCATCTCCAGTTCCCCACATCACCCCAAACATTTGGATTTGGTGCCGAGGAAGGATCACCCCTAGCTCCAGCCCTTCCATCATTGTTGTTTTTTCTTTGCAGGGCCCGTGCTGAAGGGACAGAGGGGACAGAGCCAGGAGCAGCTCCCGAGGAGAGGACAGAACCTGAGGGACAGCAGGGATGGAAACCAGGGCTGGGAGAGCTCCTGCCCTCAGCTCCAAAACCAAAACCAGCTCCAAAAACAAAACCAGCTCCAAAACCAAAACCAGCTCCAAAGCCAAAACCAGCTCCAAAACCAAAACCAGCTCCAAAACCAAAACCAGCTCCAAAACCAAAACCAGCTCCACACCTGGCTGGGCTCCACATCCCCTCCGTTCCTCCGGGAGCCGAGCTCCTCCCACACGGAACTGACAGGACTTCATTAACAATTTTCTAATTGCTGGCCTTTGGGAATTTATCCTTTTGGATCCTGGCCATGGATGGATGGATGGTGAAGAGCTCTTGGGTCAAACAGGACAAACGGGAGCTCAGTGCTTTTCTCTGGCAAGGAACAAGCACTTGCCTGGTTTCCAGTGGAATTTTTTTGTCTTTATTTTTACCCCTCTGCTTTTTTATTTTTTTATTTTTTTTATTTTTAAATTTTTTTTTTCCTGCTTTTTGGGCATTTCCTGAGGATGCTGGAGCTGCACTGGATCCCGTGGTGAGAACTGGAGCCTTGGGAAGAGCAGGAGCTGAGGTTTCCAGGTGTCTGCCTGTGCTGGGCGGACTCAGGAGGCTCCTTCTGCCACATCTGGAACATCCCAGTGGATCCCAGTCCCACCTGGACTCCCCCCAGAGCAGGAATGGGGGGAAGCCAATGTCACAATGAGGAGAATGTCCCCCTCAGAGATAATTTATTAAATTTCATTTAATAAACCCCACTGGCTCCGTGAGTGCTGGATGTTGTTTCCCATTTGCCACATTCCCAGGGGATTTTGGATTGTCCAGGAAACCTTGAGAAATTCCTGCCCTAGCAAAGCCAGCCCAGCAGTTTAACACCTTTATTTGCAGGGAAATGTCCTTTCCCTCTTCCCTTTCCACTGCCATCCCTCCTGCTCCAAAAGCCACTGAAATGCAAATTATTTCCCCTAAAATGCTAATTGTCCCTGGATTCTGTTCCTTGTAAGCACAGGAAGGTGCTGTGTGGAAATAGAACATAAAAGGGATATTTATGTTGTGGAAATAGCCTTTTATGAAAATTAATTTTTTAGGGTTTGGAATATTATTTAACAAAAAAAAAAAGGGGTTCTGTCATGTAAAAAGCACCTCACGAGCATGGATTCAAAATAATTATTTGGGAGCAGCCAGGGTGACTGGAAGTTTCTCCCAGGATCATTTAGGTTGGAAAAGGTTTCCAAGATTGAGCCCAGCCTGTGATGGATCCCCACTGGCCCCTGCTGGCCCTGTGCCATCCTTTCCCAGCACAATTCCAACCCAGAATCATGCATGGATCCATGGATCGGCTCTGGGGCTGCCTTTCAACCCCAGGGGTGGATTTGGAATTTCTGGATTTCCTAAGGAACATTTCCCTCCAAGGCCTTTGGATCCCCCAGCCCTGAGCAAACACAGCCAGGGCAGGGTGGGACCAGCCTGGATTTACCTGGGGGAGCAGCAGGAAAACCAACCTGGCCTTCTCCCAGGAAACCCAGACCGGGCTCAGATGGAAAAATCCTCGGGATTTATGAGTTTGCTTTCCCAAATGCAAATATTAACCCTCTCTGGCCAGGCCCAGGGGCAGCAATCCTGCTCTCCTGCAGCCTGGGAGGATTTTGGGATTCTGTTCCCAGTGCTCTGGAGCTGCCAGGGCTGGGCATCCTGCAACCCCAAATCCCCCAGGAACGGGAATTACCCCAAAACTAAATTCATTTTCCCTCTAAGCTTCCATGCTTTGGTTGCCCTCAAGGAGAGGAAATTGTCTGCAGGGATTTCTTGGAGCAGGATGAGCCAGCCCAGCTCTGGGAGTGCTCTGCTCCTGCTCCCTGCTGCTCCTGCTGATGTTTTCCGGGTGCTTGGAATGGCAAAACCTTCCCCAAGCACGGTCTGACATCCTCCCCCTCTCCAAATTAAGTGCCAGCTCTGCCTCAGCCTAATTAAAACCAGCAATCAGGACTGGGCCAGGCTGTAAAATTCTAGGACAGTTTTATGTGGAGCAATTAAAAGGGAGGTAAAAAAAAAATTGTTAAGAAATTAAACACTAATTACTTTTTTTTTTTTTTTTTTTTTTTTGGCCAGCTGAGCTGTTCTGGCAGTGGGGCTGTGAGGGGGATGCAAAACCTGGGATGGTCGGGTCCCTGCTGCCATAAATCTGCTGGATCAAATGTTCCCCTGCTTTTGAGCCCTGTAACTCATCTGCTGCCAATTAACCTAAATCACGTTTTTTCAATTAAAATTCAAGGCCCGGTGTGGAGGATGGGGAGGGGTGGCAGGGTCTGGGTGTTGCAGCAAGGTGGAAATATCTGTTTTAAAAGGTGTGATCCCATTTTAGTGTTTTCCATATAAAATGGGATGTAAATGGCTGGGCCCTGGGGAGCTGTGAGAGGATCCCTGGCCTGGGGGATTAACAGGGAATCCCCACCTGCAGGGATGGCAGCTCCTGGCTGCACCAAAACTCCTTTGGGATGGGGATTTTTTACCCCGATTCTGTTTTTGGGATGGATATTTCCAGGCTGGGCTGGGAGTTTGGGATGGGAACGGGTGCCTTGCATAACACCTG